GGGTAATAGTCCTCATAGGATTTTTGGAGCTCGGCTGTCATTGTGGCCAACATGATACATGTCACTTTAGTGGCATCTCTCTCATGAGTCCGGAATTCAGCGATCTCCTCAAGAGTAGCAGACGACTCATCACGTTCCTTAAGCTCCTTGTCGAGGACATATTCCTTGTCCTCGTAACGAGTGACCATCCTGATGTTCCGGATCTAATCCATAAAGTTGGAACCATCGAAGATAACTCTCCCACAAAGGTTCATGAGAGAGAAGGAGCCGATAGGGTTTGATCCAGAAGCAGGAGTGTTGTATGACATCTGAAAGGAAAGACAAGTTAAGATTAGATATAAAGATAGTCCTCAATAATACACCCAAATGTAATATTAAGGCTATGACCCAACACAATATTTTATAACTTAGAAGAGGGATGCCGTAATTCAAGCTATAAAATATTTGAAGGTAGGTGAATGACGATTCACCAATTTCCACCATGAAAAACGAAATAAATTATAAGGTTTTAATTGGTTTTGAAACTCCTAGATTCTTTTAAGATTCACTGAAATTTTCAATGGCATGTTTCAATATCGATTGTGCCCTTCAAGTTTTGTGACTGGGATGCCGAGGATCACAAAAAAAGGTGTGAAGTAACCATGAAAATTAAACCAACAAACTATTTGCAAATAATTCCTATGATCTTATAAACTCATAAGTTCATGAACATTCATATCAACAATTTCAAGAATCATAAATAACACATACAAAACTTGAAATTTTGATAATATCCATTGTAAATGGATTAGCATAACCATTGCACCATCTAAAACAAGTTTATAAGACCAAAACAGTTTAGGGTAATGTTTCTAGTCCATTTCCAGCAGCAAAACTCGAAAAACTACATCCAGGGCCTCCTACTCATCAAGTGCAAGAACCTACTCGACGAGTAGGATGAATTATCACATGGACTCGTCAGGTCCCCCCATGGACTCGGCAAGTTCACTCAGCAGATAGCAGATTTTTGAGTTTTTTCAACAAGTTTGCATCAAGTATCAAGTATCAAGTAAACAAGCCTAGGCTCCGATACCATTGAAGGGTTTTGAGCATTCTAACACTCCTAAGGTGTACATGCAACCCTAGAAACCTTGGATATATGTTTTACTAATATACATGCAAATTTGATTTTCCAAGGTTCTTAACCTAACTATCATGGCATGGGGAACTTTAAAACATAAATGCTAGTAGAATAACATACCTTTTTGTTGCTTGGATTCCTTGAGAACCTTGTGAGCCTAACACCTCAAGTGTGAGGCCTTAAATGTCTCACACAACACCACAACACTTAGAATAACTTTGAGAGAAGTTCACAATCACTCAAAATCGGCTAACCCTCTTGTTCTACTCTTAGTAGTCTCGATTTTGCTAGTCATTGGGTCCTTTTATAGTTGTGTCACAAGTAGGGTTACAACATGTAAACCCTAATTGTCATGGTTTTCCATATTCCATGATCCATGGGTTTATAACCCCCCATGGACTATCCATGGAGCACCTTATGGGTTTAAGCCCCAATCCAATAAACCATGGACCATTAGACCACTATAAAAGAATAGATGATTTATACAATCAAGCTCATATATTTAACTAATCTCTTTTTGATCACTTAATTAATTTCAAACTAATTCTTTGATCAGTACTAATTAAATAATATTATTAATATATTAGAATTTATAATATATTAATAAACCTTAAGTATCCTTTCTCTCATTTAGTCTATCCAAGTGTTGCAATGCGATGTAACCCAAATGGACCATGCCAACCGAATCAAGTACATTCCAGAAATAGTTATGAACTTAGACACCTAATCCAACAGTTAGATTCACCTCCCGCTTCTGGTAGAAGTTCCACGAGGAGTTGGGCACGCGGCCACATTTTAGTATAACATATCATCCGCAGATCGATGGCCAGTGCGAGCAGACTATATAGACCCTCGAGGATATGTTGAGGGCTTGTGTCATAGATTTCGATGGGAGCTAGGATTCCCATCTACCCCGTGCAGAGTTCGCTAACAACAATAGCTATTATTCTAGTATTGGTGCCCCACATTTTGAGCAGTTGTACGGGCGGAGATGTCGCACACCGGTCTGTTGGGGTGAGGTTGGTCATCAAGTAATGGGGCAAACAAATGTAGTTTTACAAACTATTGAGAAGATTCAATAGATTAGATAGCGGTTTCAGACTGCACAGAGTAGACAGAAGAGCTACGCCAACTGATGCCGATCAGAGTTAGAGTTCCAGGTTGGTGATATGGTACTCCTGAAGGTCTCGCCCTGGAAGGGCGTGATCCGCTTCAGGAAGAAGGGGAAATTGATTCCCCGATACATCGGGCCATTCAGGGTCATTGTCAGGGTGGGCAAGGTAGCTTACAGACTAGATCTTCCTGAGGAGCCCAGTCAGATCCACAACACTTTTCACGTTTCACAATTGCGAAAGTGCATACTGGACGAGGAGGTCGTAATATCATTGGAGGACATTCAGGTCGATGAGCGACTAAATTATGTGGAGAGGCTCGTGGCCATTCTAGAAAGGAAGGTGAAGGTTCTGCGGAACAAGGAGATACCTTTGGTAAAGGTACAGTGGGAGCACCGAAGAGGGTCCGAGTAGACGTGGGAGCCAGAGGCTGAGATGCGGGAGCACTATCCGGAGATGTTCACCGCAGCGGACTTCGATGAAGAAGTCTAGTTCAAGTGGGGGAGAATTGTAACTCCCCGACTCTCAGGTATTAATTTTTACAGCTTTATTTTTTTCAAATTAAAAGTTCTACTCGACGAGTTGATGCCCTAACTCGTCGAGCAGGAATTTTGAGGCCACATGTTTTAAATAACCAACTTGACGAGTTGGAGCTGGAGGATGAAACCCTAATTCTGGGGTTTTGCACCATATTTAAAGGGTCATTAGCCTCCTTTAGCCTCTCTTACAGCCCCTTGTGAGTCTAGAAACCCTAAATCATCATTTTCTCTCCATTTTTGTGTATGTTAAGTTTGGAAGGTGGATCTTGGTGAGAGGAGCTTGAAGATCAAGTAGTTTGAGGCAAGGAACGTGTGTGGATATGAAGTTTACCCCAGTTTAGCATCATTTGAAGGTATCAAGTCATTAGCTTGATCTTCTTAATATTAACATCAGATAGTGATAATTGTAAATTAGGATACAAATTCAAATAGACTGGACCACTAGTTAAACTAGACTGTATTATGCCCATTAAAGATTGTTTCCGATTCATATTACGACCATCACGTAATACAACTAAAAAACTTTCTGGTAAAGCTTCTAAAGTTAAAGGTTTAAAAGCAATTTTCACTAAACCTATATGTAAATAATTATGAGTATATTGATATCTATGAATATCCTCATAGGTTAATAATTTAACAATCATGTCATCTTGATTCATTGTTAAATTTTCTTCAGTTGTTTTAACTGGTTGCATAAAACCTAATTCTTCAAAAGTACCTAGTTGATATAAAACTTTTGGTTGTATTCTAGGAATTATCCATTTATTTAATAAATCTATTTGTTTTGGTATTTCATATTCTTCATTTACTTGATTTTTAACATTATTCCTATTATTCCTTTTGAACATGTGAAAATTCATTTGAGAAATAAGTGTTAAATAACTCATGAAATAGTAGCCCTGATATATATATATATATATATATATATATATATATATATATATATATAATATATATATATATATATATATATATATATATATATATAGACACACACACACACACATATATATATATATATATATATGTGTGTGTGTGTGTGTATGTGTGTGTCATTTTTCATTTAATTTGCTATTATATATCTTCTAAAAAATCAATGTCGGTTGGCAATTTTTTTTGAGTTTTCTCACTTACATTTTTCTTATATTTCATTTCATCCTTTTAATTTTCACTCATTGTTTATAATTGCCCTTTATTTTTTCTATAACCACCGATGCCTATAATTTTTAACTTTTTGCAATTTAAGTACTCCTACTAAGTTTGATGTCATCCTAATACTTTATAAAATAACATTTTCAACCCTTTACTTTTTAAAATGTTATATTCACTCATGTACTTAAACTTAAAAAATATCAATTTCACCCATTATATTTTCTTAACTTTTATTTTATCCAGCGTAATATATATAATCTGATTTACCTATGGTTACCGCTCCTATAATTTTCTAACCATTCATATACGTCGGTATAAATAAGAGGTTGTCAATGTTTGGGCTAATGTCATATTATCCTATCAAACGTTTTGTGTTTGTTTTAAAAGGTAACTAAACTATTTTTTTGCACATTACAGGAATAAACTCTCATTTCTTTGTTTTAAAACACCCTGATGTTACCTTTTACCATATTGAAAGGTAATATACATGCCACAAAGGAAAACGGTAGTGCCAGGTCATTTAATGAAATGGCCACGTGTAGTACATTTATATTAATTTGTTTTAAATAAATCATTTGTGTTATACAGTCCCCCCCCCCCATTGAAGAAAACCCCCATCCCACCATAGTAACTGAAGATCGATGGCTATATTCCTCTCAATCAAAGTTCATTTCCAAGGTTTGTTCATCAGCAAAAAAAAATTACTATTCTGATGTTGTTCATCATGTGTTCGAGAACATCGATTTTGATGGTATGTCATATAACGAGTTTGTGGGTTTTCTTGAATGATTCACAGAAGAGAAGTGTGAGAAATTTTATTATTGTAAACCCGATTTACAAATCCCAAAAGGTTTAACCTTGATTTCTAATGAACTTCATTATCAAGAATTTATAGACATTGCTTATCGATGTGGAGTATAAGTTCCTGTTTACATGGACCATTTTGGTACTACTATACATGTAACTAAAGCAAATGAAAATGAAAATGAGTATAACTGTTCTGTGAAGTTAAACATGTCAATCGAAAGGGAAGAAAGTATTGACCTAACTGACTTCATGAGTCCACAATAGAGTAACATGGAAGGAGTAATCTATAAAGGAGTAAGTAAAGCTAATGGAAATGAAAATGCCACAGAAGGTGATCCAAAATATGATGAAGATGAGAATATCCCAGATGTGAAAGGAAAATAAATGTTTAATGAAGACATATCTTGGAAGAAGTAGATTCTAATTCTAGGTATGAGGTTCACCGACCCTAAACAATTAAAATTCATGCTTTGTAATTATGTTGTAGCAAATGGGTATCAATTGTACTTTGAAAAAAATGACACTAAAAGGTTATTGGTTAAGTGTAGTGATGGTCAATGCACATTTAGGATGTGGGCATCATGAATGAGTGAGGAGCAATCATTCCAAATCAAGTCCCTTATCGTTGATTTGTGCAAGAAATTTTAAGTTAGGGTCAATTGTTAATTACAGATGGACTGGAAGTCATTTCACCAGGGAAGTTCTTGAGAATCAGAAATTCAATGTTAGGATGTTAAGAGAAGAAGTAAAGATTAAATTTGGAATAGAGGTTAGTATGGGACAATGTAGGAGAGCCAAGCAATATGCAATGTCTCTTATTAAAGGTACCATAGTGGAAAATTATGCAAAGTTGTGGTCCTATGGTGAGGAGATAAAAAGGTCTAATCCAGGGTCAACAGTCAAGTTGTTTGTGAACTCTATGCTAGATAGGAAAACTTACTTTAGTATTATATATATATATATATATATATATGTGTGTGTGTGTGTGTGTGTTTTCATGCACTAAAGGAGGGTTGGAGAAGTGGATGTAGAGGGATAATAAACTTAGATGGGTGTTTTCTAAAAGGAATGTGTATTGGTCAGTTATTATGTGTGTGTTGGTAAGGATGGTAACAATCATATATACCCAATAGCTTGGGCTATAGTTTGTGTTGAAAATAAAGACAACTAGAAATGGTTCTTAGAAAACTTGCAAGAAGATTTGCATCTTGGAGGTGTGTTTGGTAAGACATTGATGTCAGATCAACATAAGGTATGTTTTTCTTCATAATGTCATGGCTTATTTGTCTTAATTATGATCTACTTCTAAATGTTATGATGATGTAAATGCAGGGGATAATTGAAGTAATGAAGGATTTATTTCCAGAGATAGAACATAGGCAATGTGCCAGGAATGTTCTTTCCAACTTCAAGAAGAAATTCCCTGGGGCTCAATATGAGAAATTATGTTGGAAGGCTTGTAAGGCATCAAATGAACCTCTTTTCAATTCTGCAATGAAAGAGATTCAAATGATTAGCCCTACTGCTTATGTGCATCTTATGGGAAGGAATCCAAACTCATGGTCAAGAGCATTTTTCCAAATAGGAAGGGGGTGTGATGAAGTTGAGAATGGGTTGTCTGGAAGCTTTAACAGTGTTATCTTGGATGCTAGGAAGAAGCCAATTATTACAACGTTGTAGGATACTAGACTATATGTGATGCAGAGGGTGTGTAATTTAAGGCAGAAAGGAATCGGATGCGGACATTTAGATGTATGTCCAAACATAAGGCTTGCCATAAATGAATTGAAGATCCAACAAAGGTAATTTATTATTCTCTAAAACTCTTTTTCACCATAGTAACTATTGCTAATCGTGTTTATTTGTAGGTACTAGTAAGTGCTTCCTAGTGGCCTGAATACCTTTGAAACAAAAAACTTAGGAGAGTCTTATGGTGTTGATTTGGAAAAGAAAACATGTACTTGTAGGATTTGGTAACTAAATGGGTATGGTTGTGTACACTCAGTGGCAACCATATGTTATGTAAATAGAGATGTGGAGGCATTTGTTGATCCTTTATATCGTGCTTGCATATATATGAACACCTACAAGTACTCAATAGGAAGCATGAATCGGAGTGCAATATGGCCCCCAACAAACTACAAACCACCTTTGCCACCATTGAAAAGGAAGATGCCAAGGAAACCCAATATTAAGAGAAAGAGGGACAGTACTGAGGTTAGTGTATCACAAAGAGTATCCAAGTCAGGAAAAAAGATAGTTTGTGGTGTTTGTAAAAAGGCAAGCCACAATAATTCAACCTGTGAATATGTGATGCAGTGTCAAAGCCTTAAAAAGTAAAGTCAAAAAGAGGAAGGCTAAAGGTGAAGATAAAACTAGTGCATTGAAGAAAATGAAGGGTAAAGCTAGTGCATTGAAGAAAGGGAAGGGTCAAGTGCAAAGGGGGAATGGTGTAAAAAAGGGAAAAGGTGAAGGTGAAGGTGGAAGTGGAATTGGTTTCAAAACGGGACAAGGTGAATGTGGGTCGACAAGTGTTGTGGATAAGAAAAATGGTAAAAAAGAAGGTACAGTGAAGTTAAGAAAAAAGTTAGAGAAGATAATACAGAAAAAGTTGGCAAAAACAGTTGAAGGAAAAAATAGTGAAGGTGATACATCAACCAAACCAATGGACTTGGATTAAAGGTGTTTTGTCCTTTTGTTTATGGAGTATGTTAGTTATGGTTAGATGTCCTTTTGTTTATGGAGTATGTTAGTTATGGTTAGATGTCTTTATTTCAAGTTTTTTATGGTCTTGTTAAGTTTGTTACCATGTCTTTAAAACACCAAGTTATTGATGGGTTTTGGTCATAAGAACATCCTATGTGCTCATACAAACCCTAATGCTTGGATCTAGGTTTCTCTATTGTACATGCAAGTTATCCAAGACTATAAACCCTAGATCTAACATATGATAATCAATATATCATATAATTAGGGTTTAGATCATACCTTGATTGTTATGTAGCAATAACAATCTCAATTCCTCCTTGTATTGACTTTAGAAAGCTTAGAGTCACAAATGTCACTCCTCTAATGGTTCACAAACACCATAAGCAAGAGGATGAAGAGGAGAGAGGATGGAGGCTGCCCAAAACGTGTTCTAACCCTAGAAGAGAAGTTCCCCACGTTTTTGGGTCATAAGGGTCATATATATAGTGAGGCTATTAGGGTTATCTAACAAGGAAACCCTAATTTGGATGCTTAAGCCCTAAGCAACCCATGGACTCCTTTCCTTAAGGCCTTGGACGATTTCTCATGGTTTCCCCATAGAATTCGTCCACCCTTAATATAAGGCAATCCATAGCCCAAATTGCAATTATCTTACAATTACAATTCCAATCACTTAAGTTTACTTAATCTCTTTTAGTCACAAAACTAATTACCAATTAATTATTGACTAATATTAATTAAGCAATATGATTTCTCCTTTAATATATTATTCTCATAATATATTAATAAATCATATTTAATCCTTTCTCTCCATAATTCATCCTATCAAGTTGCTTTGGTGAAGGCAACCCAAAAGGACCATGCACCATCGGGTCAAGTACATACCAAAATAGTTATGGACTTAGACACTAATCCAACTGTCTCCCACTTGGATAAGTCTAATTACTATTCTGCGTATGAGTTCAGATCCTGATCTGCAATCGTAGCTTTCCAAAGCCGCTGTCAACTCTGATCCTATCAGATACACGTGTCCTTTAGATAAGGGGTCATATATTCCTCCATTCTAGATATCGTAAGACATGATTTCTAATCATTCTCTTTGTACTATTTCTCGATCTCCGATTTATGACGACAGACTAATTGAACAAATCAAATTAGCCCTAGCCCAGTCGAGCATTTACGTTTTTCATCACTAAATCATCGAGGGGCCCAAAAATATCGCTTTTATCCTACTTTGGATAAAAGGAACGGATAAACTTTGATACAATGCTTGCTTGCACTCACTCACCGAATCACAGACAACAATATGTTTTATAACACCAAGTTACTAGTGTGTTTACATATTATCAATGCGCAACCGATTAGCAAGATACAACTCACACATCTCAGTTTCAAGAATATAAGATGTTATCGTCTCACCAATCACTCGCGATACAATTCATGGAGTGATCCAAGTGAGTGTGGGTTTGATCCAATGCTCAAATTCATATTCATAAGCACTCATGAACGTTGCAGCAAACATTTGCTTATGTCTAATACTCTTTTAGAGAATCCACACACCAATTCACGACAGTCTTCATTCATACTTACTTCCAACATATGAACGACTGCGGCCCGTTCGAATAACTTGACTGTTCTTAATTAATTAAGTTATTCAGGAAGTCAAAACATGTAAAGTGAAACACAAGAATAATACTAATCCCATATGGCCTCAACCCTTTGAGCATAAATAAAACACCTTTTATTTATCACCATATCGATTACTCATTATTTGTCGTTTCGGGTAATCAACTTCTTACTTGAATTATTACACTTGTCCCATGCTCTTTCGCATGCACACAATGTTTACTTATGGTTCTTACTTTGTGAAATAGATCAAATTTAATACATTTCCAATCATTCTCATTTCACAACTCCAAATCCTTTTTCATAAGTGTAAGAATATCAAATTCTTGCCACTTATAGAATATGCTAGATTCTAACATTTTATGCAATCATCCTTCCGTAATATCACTGCACCAAAGTCACAAAGACTATTGCCAATGATATTACAAAATCTTCTATTGGATATTTGTAACAACGCAAATTTTCAAATAAATTTTTCATTTTAAATAAAGTGAGTTCATTCAACCAATAACATTTATTTCATGTTTCAAAACGAATACGTATATAAAATCCCCAAGATCTCAAATAGCAGCAGTGTGCATGCATCATGCTGGCGCCTTCCCACGGTCCTCGCTAGTACCTGAAACACATACATAACAACTTGTAAGCATAAATGCTTAGTGAGTTCCCCAGTAGACCACTTACACATATACTCCTTTCCAGGCCCTGACCTTCCGGTCCACAAAACAACGCCTTCCGGCCCATAAGATAATTGCCTTCCGGCCCATAACGCATTGCCTTCCGGCCCATAAACATATACCGCACATAACACATTTACTGCAATACATTTAGCACATATAACGTATGACATACCTGACCTTTCTATCACATAATACATTGCCTTCCGGCCCATAGAAACATACATAGCATGCATAGCAACTATTCCTTTCAATTATAACATATATATAACACATAACATATCCGACCTTCC